ATATATATTAAATTAATACATAGAATATATAAATATAATTATGTGTTTTCCTTTCATGTGTATAAATATATGTATATAATAAAAATAAATAAATAAAAATAAATAAATAAATGTATATAACACTATTTTGTTTAAAAATAAACGTTATGCCAATACTTTCAGAAACATTCAAGCATGTGTTACTACAATTTTTTGCGATATATTTGGTACAAGATGATATTTCATTTCTTAATTCATATGTACAAGAATAGATGATTCCTTGGAAATCCCAAAAAACAGTGGCCATTATCTTCCCGACCAACAAAACAGTCTTCGACTACTTCGGCGCACATTCACTAGCCGTTGTCCACTGCTGCTGTTTTGATTCGGATGTATAGTGGTGGATCCAAGTCTTGTCTACGGTCACGAATCGACGCCAAAAATCTTGTGGATTGCGCTTAAGCATCGACAAACACTACGAAATATCTTTTGCGTTTTTGGTCGATGATTAGCAATCACGGCACCCATTGTGCACAAAGCTTTTTCATTTATAATTCTTTGTGCAGGATATTATGCACCTTATCTTCTAAGATGCCTCGAATCTCAGCTATGTCACGCACTTTTATTCGGCAATCTTCCATGGCGATACGATGGATTTTTTCAATCATTTCTGGCGTAGTGACTTCAATTGGACATCCGGGGCACACTTCATCTTTGATTGATGTTCTGTTTTGAATTAATTAAAAAATAAATAGTCTTCAACGCAGCTGCAGAATAAACTTCATCCAACTCGGTTTTGATCTGCCCAGCCGTCCACTTCTTTAAATATAAATGTTTAATCACGGAATTCGTTTTTCTCCATTTTTATGACAATCGCTGCCATGCTCAACGTCTGCCACACGTAAACTAAGCGTCGCTTTTGGTTGAAACTTGATATGAGGCACTTTGATTAGTGTTATTTGGCCATATACTACACAGTTTATTATGGTGCCATCTCGCAAAAATTTACCTGACTTATCGAACGACTCTTATATGTTTTCATATTAATATTGTATTAAAAATATGTAATGTTACATAAATAAATATTAATAC